AGAGGTTTGTGCAGAAGCATAAGAAAACTCTGACTTTCTGTCACTCAGCTTTTCCCTTCGTCTTGTTCTTTTGCTCCTTCCAGTTGTTGAAGGAAAAGTCTTCATCATGGTACAGCCCAAGCCAGGAATAAACAACATGGTGACTGCTTTAGAAAGAAGGTTGTAGTTTATTGAAGAGGAGAGCCAGACAGGAAGATGGCTCTGGAAGGAATAAAAAGGGAATGAGCACATCTAGGGAGTGGGTTTTTATACCCTCTGGAGCCTTTTGTTTGGAGTTGTTTCCTGTTCCTGTTTGAGGCTTTATATTTCCTGTGCCATGTATTCTGACCTGAGTCTGGGTATGCCTTTCTGGTATTCTGATGGTGGTGGGTTAATCCTATTATGTCCCAAGGGTCATAGCCTGCTTCCCTGGGGCTGTGGCTGATGACTCTTAGATTTTTGGTGTTGATTCTAGGATCTTTCTTCCTAATCCCAGTTTCCTGACTCCAGTCTTTCTGACAAGATTATTATCTGCATTTTGCAAACTTGGTTTCTGTTTGGGACAGAGAGACTTTGGGGGGGGGGGTTGGTTTCTGCCTTTAAAATCCTTTGGGGAAATATATTCTGCCTTTTAAATATTTCCAAGAATAAGTCTTTCTCTGGGTGTGTGTGTGTGGGGGGGTTGACTTCCCACATGGTTGATCTAGTCTTGTCTTATTTGGGTGATCTGTATAGACAATGCTCCAACACCCAGAACTCTCTGGGATGGTAATTGCTGAGAATTATGGGAGGTGAGGTTCATACAATCTTTTGGAATGTCAAAACTGGGGAAGGCTGATGCAGCCTCCTCACCTCAGCTCTCCTATGAAGATGGGGAATTGTTCATGTAGAGCAGTGGTTCTCAACCTTTTTAATGCCGCGACCCCCCAACCGGTCGTAAGTCGAGGACTACTCAACCTGTCGTAAGTCGAGGACTACTCAACTGGTGCAGCACCATTTGCAGAATGGGACTTTTGGCGGGCTCAGCAGGGCAGAGACAGCCTGGACAATTCCTCTTGGCTTTTGAAAGCCAATAGAATTAGACTCTATTCAAGAGAGTCTATTCTATTGGCTTTCAAAAGCCAATAGAATAAAGGTGAGTAGCACAGCTAAGGAAAAGGGGGAAAAAAATGGCAGACTGCGTTGTTTGGCAACCCCCGTGAAATGGTCATTCGACCCCAAATGGGGTCCCGACCCACAAGTTGAGAACCACTGATGTAGAGGCTTGTTCCCATCTAAGCCCCTGTCCTTTTAGGGATCACATTAACTGTTGTTAAGATTTCATGGGCTTTTTTTGAGGATTGGTCTCTTGAATTCGTGGGCAGAACTTTCCTCTTCTTTTCTTGGCCAAAGTAAGCAATATGGGCTGACACCTCTTAAATGCAAAACCTGGGGTAGAGATAATCATCCAGGCTATTTGAAGGACCACTTCTCCCCTATTCCATCCACCCAGCCCGCCGGGATGGGAAGGTAGGTCTGATCTTTTAGGGATGTACATCTGATGGGTCCACAAAAAAGAGTCTTCCCGGTGGTGGCCACTTCTTTATGGAACATCATCCCCCACACTGAAGTACAAAATTAGCACACACCCTGTTGCTTTTCTGAAAGACCCTGAAGGTGTGGGACTCTGGGAACCATGATGGAGCCAATCAAGTGATTGATTTGATTGTGTTGCTGGTGCCATGTGGGTGGGGGGGGGTATGAAGGTGGGGGGGTATTTAGGAGTTTTTAATGTTGTGGGTTTTTAATGTAAGCTGCCTGGAGTCATCTACTGTATATATGTAGGTTGGGCAGCTGTATATATATATTTGTTCAATAAATAAAGAAAAATCATTACTGGGTTTGCATAATATGCCATGAACACAGAAAAAAAAATCATAACGTGATTGTTTGGTTCATACAACTTGCAAAGACAATACCCAGGTTCCTGCCGTGTGATGAATCATAAACTGTCTCATTCTGTTGTAATGTATAATCTTCATGTTATATGAATCCAACCTGAATTTCTTAGTTATAAATCAACATCTCTTGGCTTGGTAGCTCCATTACAATAAGATATTTTTTTGGGTCAGAAAAAGTTCTTCTGTAACCATCCAATACTCAACCTTTTAACTCTCTTCCAGGCAGGTGGCTTGGCAGTACATTTGCCAATTGTGGCTGATCTCAAAAATTAAGAAAGAGCAAGCTGGAATTTCAATGAGAAACTATTAGGAAATCTGAGAATAGCAAACTGGAGTAGAAAGTGAAAAAACACTGCAAAGGAAAGCAGTGGGAAACCACTTTCAAATTGTAGCCAGAGAAAACTGCAAGGACCTGATGTTGTTGTCACCAGGAGCTGAGCTTGACTCAAGAAAGTATCTACCTTATAAGGGCATCTTAAATCCCAGGGTTTCAACATCTAGCTGTCATCCTGGAAAATCACCTGCTACATCTGGAGCGTCTTTCTTCCCTTCAGGCTCAGTATCTATCATCACTTTATGCATTTGTGGAACACCAGGGCAAGGAAATCTTTTAGGTTGCATAACACTCAAGGGCGCTAATTGCACACAATGAGGACTAATAGTAATACTTATTACTCTCCTCTGTATAGTTGACAAAGGGGAGAGAGATAAAAATATTGCGTTCTGGTCAAGAAGATTCTACTCTATACCTTAATCAGAAGAATCCCAAGACTACGCTCACCTATATGATGAAGAAAGGAGGTTTATTCACATCAGGGAGCATGCCAAATTAACTTGCGGTGAGTATGCTTCAGGGCCAAAGCACATTTACGTGGAGACCCCTGGTGTCAGAACCCAAGAAAAGAAAACAATACAAAGGGGAGGAGGGAGAAATAGAGCACATCCTGAAAATCTGAGGTCCACTTACCAGACCAGTTCCCTTCCACACATGGAGGGGAGCCAAACCTCCCCAGCAGGGTGGAGAAATGGAGCTCATATTCTGAAGATCCAAGCCTGTAGCCTGATGGAGCAATTCCTTGTGCTGACCTTGGTAGTCAGTTTTTTTCATTCCTTCTGCTTAACCACCTGGGAGATCGTTTAATGACTGCAACCAGGGAATGCTGGGATTGTAGTTGTTGAACAAAGAAGTCATGTGAGTGTTTCGCTTAATGACCACTTCACACAATGATTGGGATTCCATTTCCGAGTACGGTTGTAGGTTGAGGACCCGTGTTGCTCAATTTTGCTCATTTAAAGAAGTGCATTGGCCAGAGCTTACACATAGCTTTTCTACAAATTACTTAAAATTTTACCTATTTACAAAGGAATATATTCCCAAAATACATTTTTTTATTTATTATGAGTAGACATATATACAATTGCACTATTAACCTCTTATTTCTCTGGGATGTCCAGTAAGAACAGTATAAAATGGTAAACAATGGCAAAAACAGCTGCGAACACCGAACTGCTGAAAAGCAAAACAGAACAGTACAAGCCGTAGCATCGACCACAAAATTAAATGATAGACCAAAGATATAAAAGCACTTTGAAACGAAAGTATACATTTTTTATAATGATCTTTATAGGCCTGGAAAAGGTCTATAGATCACAGGCAAATATTGATGAAGAAAATATTCTACAAGCATAATTATTATTTATTCTTTCTTTAGCCATAAAAAGGCCCTTCCTTGCCTAATCTGTAAGGAATAATTGTGGACCCCTAGATACGGGAAGAGATAATATTTATATAACAACAGCAAATGTTTTAGTTTACAGGGTTGTTGTTGTTAATTGTGAAGTCGTGTCCGACCCATTGCGACCCCATGGATAACGTTCCTCCAGGTCTTCCTGTCCTCTACCATCTTCTGGAGTCCATTTAAGTTCACACCTACTGCTTCAGGTTTAAAAATATAAGCATTATCTATCCTTTTTAAAGTAGTTAAAACAAGTAATTTTAACTACTTTAAAAAGGATAGATAATGCTTATATTTTTAACCTTCATCTGCTTCCTAACTATGACAGGAGAGAAGCAGTCTGGCTAATTATTTTAGACTAAAGTTCCTGGATCATATTCAAAGGCAATTCTTACGCATCTCACATAGCAGTGGATAATTTCCCAGGAGATTATAAGAACATTAGCAGGGACATCTGCAGGGGAATCAACCATAGATTTTGCTGAGATAGATTTATTAACTTCTTTGCTTAAGCAAAAGATTAACACATTTATCTACATTTATTTGGTGAATGGAAACCATTACGGACTTTTTGAATTTTTTTTTTTTAAAAAACTGAACTTTTCATTGATCGCTTTGTTAATCTGCCTAATCCTCAAAGCTGTAAATCACAGGTTTATTTGTTAATTTTTATCCAAAAAGTCCATCAAGGGTATCAAATAAATGTAGCATAGGATTATAGAAAGAAGGACAATTAATCAGTGGAACAGCTTGCCTTCAGAAGTTGTGGATGCACCATCACTGGAGGTTTTAAAAAAAGAGACTAGACAGCCATTTGTCTCAAATTGTATAGGGTCTCCTAGTTGAGCAGGGGGTTGGACTAGAACAGAGACCCCCAACCTTTTGGGCACCAGGGACCGGTTCTCTGCAGAGTGGTTTTTCCGCGGACCAGAGGGTGCATGGTTTTGTGTGCTGCCTACATCCCCTGGATGGGACTTTGCTTGGTTATGCGGCCTGGTTTCTGGCATGCCACAGCCTGGTGCCGGTCCACAGATGGGGGGGGGGTTGGGGACCCCTGGACTAGAAGACCTCCAAGTTCCCTTCCATTCTGATGGATTGAAGGGAAGGGAGAAGGACATTCAGATTTGCAAGATTCTGTTACTGCAACCTTATACGAAAATTGTTATTAGCATTCATAACTTTGGCTTCCTGGTCTGGATTACTTTGAAGGGCTGCTTGATATTTAATTGGCTCAGGACGAACCATTACACTCAGTGGCTAAGCAAGGATTTGAACCACAATTTCCCAAGTTCTCAGTGTCTTCCTATCTACACAATCTGATTGAGCTTATGCTTATCTCACAGTGCATGGTCCTAATTGTCTTTATTGCTCAGAAACAACAGAAGGTACCACAGCAGAATATATAAATTAGAATATATGAATCCATAACTATCTTCACTATTTCATGGTTGTCGCCCAAACAAGAGGAAGGCTACAGCCGTTCCATCCTGAAGAAGAGCAAGTTCTCAAGAAGATTGGGAGCAGTTCCAAGAAGCTTATTGTTGTAACTTGGTGTAAAACTAAGACAAAAAGATTGTTTCCTTCATCGGGAAGAGCTCTGGTAGGTTTGGGGAATGTTGTGGGTCTGGTACATAGGAAAGCTGGCAGGACTGATGTTCCTTTGTTGTAAGCAATAACAAAGCTGCAGGAGAGACACAAGGAAACAAGAGGTGGGTGAGGCTGAGGGTAAAACAGAAATGAAAATATATACAATTCACATACTGTATCAGTCACACAACTCTTCTGCAAATACGGCTGGTTTCTCTCAAACACCTATGTCAGGGGTAGGCAACCTTGGCTCTTTTATGACTCGTGGACATCAACCAGAGAAGAAGAATAATCCCAGTAGAGATCAATATAGAACAGGGGTCTTCAAACTTGGCCCTTTTATGACTTGTGAACTTCAACTCCCAGAATTCCTCAGTCAGCATGCCTGGCTGAGGAATCCTGGGAGATGAAGTCCACAAGTCATAAAAGGACCATGTTTGAAGATCCCTGATATAGAATAAGAGGCTGTTGGGCCATTTTAGAAGAATGGTCTTCTACTGCTCCTCCAGAATGTCACAATATTCCCTGCTTTTCAGCTGAATCAAAAGGATTTAATCTACCTGTAAGACCTGGTCAATCCTCAATAGGATTAGAACTCAACATGGCAGGTGCGCTAGTCTCCTCCATAAATGGGGAAAGCTCTGCTATTCAGAATGGAGCTGTGATGCTCCAAAGCAGGCAGTGCAACCTATTGTAGAACAGTGCCCTCTGAGCGCATAGCAGGGAAGCCCCAGAGACTATACCGGGGGCTGGCTCAGGAATTCTGGGAGTTGAAGTCCACGAGTCATAAAAGAGCCAAGGTTGCCTACCCCTGACCTATGTTTTAGTTTCTCATATAGTGATCCTCTTGGTGGAAAAGCAGGATAAATTGATCTTGGGGAGATCACAGATACAGGTAGATTTGAAGAACCTTGTCACAGGTCAGTTATAAGTTTGTGAACTTTCTTCTGTGCTGCTCCCAAGCTCCAGATTTACGTTCAGTCTGCCCTTTCTATGTCCTTGCAAGGAATTAAGAGACCTTTCTGCTATGCTGCACCCAAGCTACCAGTAGAATTGTCAAAAGAGCTGGGGAAAAATGGAATCATTCAACGCCACAACTTTCAGTTTCCAAAAGAGCTTTGCCTGTAATCATAAACTGTTTGTAATCATAAACTCTTCCCCTTGGGATGTTGCAACAGGGCATTGCGTGCCAAAACAACTAGACACAGAGACAGTTTTTTCCCCCTCATGCCATCACTCTACTGAACACCTAATTCCCACAGCACTATCTTATGTCTAAGTATATTTACCCATATTTAATATATGACTATATTACTATTATCCTTTTCATCTGTTCCACTACTTTCTCTTATTGGTATCATTATTATGATTATTGTTACTTTGTTATTATGATTATTATTACTTTGTTTTTTGCATGTACACTGAGAGCTTATGCATCAGAGACAGATTCCATGTGTTTCTAATCACACTTGGCCAATAAACCTATTCTATTCTATTCTATTCTATTCTATTCTATTCTATTCTATTCTATTCTATTCTATTCTATTCTATTCTATTCCATTCCATTCCATTCCATTCCATTCTATTGCCACTGCAGTATTTGGACAATTCCTAGGTTTTTGGACAAAACGTGAATTGATCCTAACCTACAGTCATTTGCTGACCATTCTTTAGAAAAGATGATGATATTGATAGTGATGGTGATGATGATGATGATAGCTTCATTTCATTTCTAACAGACAGTAAGTGTTGTAGCTACTCATCAAGTTTTTTCCTTTCTTAACTCAAATACTTCCATTAGAATCAAAACTTTAAAAAGTCTCACTGGTCACTCAAAGTTGATTCCAGAGGCTGTGCCACGTGACAAAACCATGGAAAACAGGTTTTTTCCCCAGCTGCAAAGTACATCTGGGGAACTTTCAATAACCTCAAAAGCCTCCTTCATATCCAGTTGTGCCCCTTTTCCAACTCTTGAACAGAAATTTCCCCAAGTCCCCCATTTCTTACCAAGAAACTGAGGCAAAGCAATAAAAGAACAGCTCCAACGCAGACTACACAAATCAGAATAATAATCCAATAGGTGAGATCAGCTTTATCTCCAGGTTGGAGGGAAACTATGAGGAAGAGAAAAGGTTTCTGAATTTAGTAAATAACATTATGAAGATGTTAGGATAAGGAGATACATAGCAAGTATTTTCTTCCTATCTGTATTGGGGATATATATCTGGAGTTCTTGGAATAAAAGCAACTGAATCCAAGTCAGCTGTGCGAATGGCTACAGAAAAGGCAAAGTAATTCCAAGCTACATCAACAAAAATGTATTTGTCAAATTGTTGGCAAAATGATGGAACTTGTAGAGATGGCTAAATGAACTGCTTTGGTTAGAGAAAGAACATTTTCTACATTTATGGTTGACTGGAAACTCTTTATAGGCCTTTTACATGAAATAGGAAATAAAATGGATTAGAAAAAAAGTGAGTTTTTTTGTATAATCATAGAATAAGATAATTTTGTAATTGCACTTATATTTGCTGCAAACGATATTTACTACTTTATTTTTTCTCCATCTTTGCTTTCATCTTCTATTTTTCTTCATTGCTTCTGCTCTTTATTAGTTTGTGTTAGTTTTTATGAGTTTTGTAAACTTTATTAAAAAATACAAAAAGTGTATTTATTTTTATTCATCATATTTCTTCTACACTGTCAATTTCACCTTAGTGATCAGGGTAGATTGGCTTTGCCAGATCAAGGGAGTAATATTTGTACTTTATTGTGCATTGGTAAGATAGCATCTCAAATATTATGTACAGTCTGAAGCACCATTTTTTAACTAGGATTCACACAAGCAGATTCAAGGAAGGGCAATGAGGATGATCAGAGGACTAGAAACAAAGCCCACCAAACACAGATTGAAATTGGTGGGAGTTAATAGAAGACAATATTTGTAGCTCAGGGTTGAACTGTGGTAATGAACATTTCATTACCAAACTCAGTAACATCATCAGTGCACTGATGATGTTACCTAGTTTGGTAATGAAATGTCTGCGAGAAAACAACCAAGTTCAGAGAGCACCAAGGACCCCACATTGGTGAGAAAGTTTATCACGGATAGACTGGTAGAGGATGTGATAGCTGCCTTAAAAGATATGGAAGTTTGTCGTACAGAAGGTCAAGACCGTTTTTTGTAGTTGTAGTTACAGAAGACTTGATTTAAATCACTGGAAGCAAATTCCAGCCGAATATCGGGGGGGGGGGGGAATCTAAATTTTCTGTAAAGGAAATTTAACAATGGAATCAAATCAGAGAAGTTGTAGGGTCCTCTTTATTCAAAGGAAGCTAAAACTCCAATTGTTAGGAAAGCGTTAATTTGGGCTTCTTCTCCTCACCCCTTCTAGTACGTGGACAGAAAGTAAATTTTTATACGAGTAGTCTAAGGAGCAATGTACTTTTATGGGCAATACTGCTACTTAATGAATACGGCATCACATCTGAAGGCATTTTTGTTTGGAAAGTTCAAATGTGGTGGTATAAAAAAATAAACCTACCTGTGCTGTTAGATGTGGGTCCTGTGGATCCTGAACCTGAGGTGGTAATGCTGGAACTAGGCCCGGGCAAAGGAGATACGGTGCTGCTTGAGCCAGATGAACTTTGGGAAGGGTAGCCAGATAACGGGGGAACAGTGGAGAAAGCGCTCACTGAAGAATTGTTTGTAGGAATGCCAATAGCGGAAGAAGATGAACCTGAGTTAGTGGAACCAGAGTTGGAAGATACACCGGGAAAAAATCCTGATGTTGAGATGCTTGTTTGGTAGTTGGTGGAACCTGGGTTCAAAGGTACTGAATTGGTCAAGCCGGGATGAGTGGACAATATTGAGCCGGTGACGCTAGGATGGGAGGAAATTGGGCTGATTGAACCAGGGTTGACAGATATGACAGAGGGAATTCCTGAGGTCGAGATGCTTGTTTGGAAGTTGGTGGACCCGGGGTGCAAAGGTACTGAATTGGTCAAGCCAGGATGGGTAGACAATACTGAGCCAGTGACGCTAGGATTGGAGGAGATTGGGCTGATTGAACCAGGGTTGACAGATACGCCAGAGGGAATTCCTGATGTAGGAATGCTTGTTTGGAAATTGGTGGAACCTGGGTGCAAGGGTACTGAATTGGTCAAGCCGGGATGGGTGGACAATACTGAGCCAGTGACGCTAGGATGGGAGGAAATTGGGCTGATTGAACCAGGGTTGACAGATACGCCAGAGGGAATTCCTGAGGTTGGGATGCTTGTTTGGAAGTTGGTGGAACCTGGGTTCAAGGGTACTGAATTGGTCAAGCCAGGATGGATGGAAAATGCTGAGCCGGTGATGCTGGGATGGGAGGAGATGGGGCTGATTGAACCAGGGTTGACAGATACGCCAGAGGGAATTCCTGAGGTTGGGATGCTTGTTTGGAAGTTGGTGGAACCTGGGTTCAAGGGTATTGAATTGGTCAAGCCGGGATGGATGGAAAATGCTGAGCCGGTGACGCTGGGATGAGAGGAAATTGGGCTGATTGAACCAGGATTGACAGAGTTGGAAGAGATACCAGAGGAAATTCCTGAAGTAGGAATGCTTGTTTGGAAACTGGTGGAACCTGGATTCAAGGGCAGTGAATTGGTCAAACCAGGATGAGTGGACAATACTAAGCCAGTGACGCTGGGATGGGAGGAAATTGGGCTGATTGAACCAGGATTGACAGATACGCCAGAGGAAATTCCTGAGGTTGGGATGTTTGTTTTGATAGAGTTAAGGTGAGTAGCTGTTGGGCCGCTGGAGCTTGGGTTGATAGGTAATACTGAGCCGGTGGGGGAACTGAAAGATGTGCTCAAGGTCCTGCTTGATAAAGTTGTTTTAGGACTTCCTGTTGGAGTGGCAAGAGATGAGCCTGAATATGGAGAAAATAGAAACATTTAGAAATAAGCAGTACTATTGTTTAGATCAGTGGTTCTCAACCTGTGGGTCGGGACCCCATTTGGGGTCGAACAACCATTTCACGGGGGTCGCCAAACAACGCAGTCCGCCATTTTTTCCCCCTTTTCCTTAGCTGTGCTACTCCCTTTTATTCTATTGGCTTTTGAAAGCCAATAGAATAGACTCTCTTGAATAGAGTCTAATTCTATTGGCTTTCAAAAGCCAATAGGAATTGTCCAGGCTGTCTCTGCCCTGCTGAACCCGCCAAAAGTCCCATTCTGCAAACGATGCTGCACCAGTTGAGTAGTCCTCGACTTACGACCGGTTGAGTAGTCCTCGACTTACGACCAGTTGGGGGTTGCGGTATTAAAAAGGTTGAGAACCACTGGTTTAGATGATGCAGGCATATGCCATCATAGCAGGCCTCATTTTAGAAGAGGAATCCCTGGCTACGTGAGGGAGAAAGAGGCCTACCTCTGCTAAGATGAGATAGCCTGAACAGACGGTCTTCAGCTTATGACCACAATTGAGCCCAAAATTTCTGTTGTTAACCGAGACATTTGTTAAGTGAATTTTGCCCCATTATACGACCTTTCTTGCCACAGTTATTAACTAAATCACTGCAGTTGATAAGTTTGTAACATGATTGTTAAGTGAATCTGGCTTCCCCATTGACTTTGCTTGTTAGAAGGTCACAAAAGGTAATCACATGACCTCAGGACACTGCAACTGTTATAAATATGAGTTAGTTACCAAGTGTTTGAATTTTGATCACATGATCATGGGGATGCTGCAAAAGTCATAATTGTGAAAAATGGCCATAAGTCACATTTTTCAATGCTGTGGTAACTTTGAACAGTCACTAAATGAACTGTTGTAAGTCCAGGACTACCTGTATAGTTTTGTTTTTAAAAAATAGGTGTATTTAAGAATATATTCCATATTGATACATCTGCTGTTTAATCTGGGGTTTTAAAAAAATCAATCTAAAATGATTTAACTCATCAATTAATACTACTTTTAATAATCTAATGGTTATAGCAATAACAATAGCATCTAGGGATATATACTGTCCCACAGCACTTTATAGAATTCTCTGGGAAGTTTACAATGTCAGCATTATTTACATATTGCTCCCAAACAATCTGAGAAGCATGGAAGACTAAGTCAACCTTGAGCCAGTCAGAACTGAACTCCAGATGGTGGGCAGAGTTTGCCTGCAATAGGGCGCCTTAATCACTGCACCACCGGGGGTCCTATATAGGTGCATGTATTGGATTATGACTCAAGTTTCAGTCCACACCCAGCCCATTGTTATGGAGTTCATATTTTTCAGTACTGCCTCCTCCTCTTCCACCTCCTCCCTTTATTGGTCACCCAACTCCAGTCGGATATTGTTTGGAGGATAAAGATAATGAATTGAATATAAGGAATTGACATAAATCAATGATCAAATAATACAACCATAGTGTAAATTACATTGATCTGAACTTCACTGAACAGTGTATCCTATGGGATAAAATATGGCCAGAAGGGCTCAGTCAGGCTTCAATTTTGATTCTCAAAAAATTAAGCTATATAAATATACCATCTGTTTCTCTCTCTCTCTCTCTCCCTCTCCCTCTCCCTCCCTCCCTCCCCCCCCTCTCTCATGGCCTTATTTTTTTCCCCAGATTGAATTTAGCAGCCCCAATATAAATAGTGTTTTGACATTCAAATTATGCCAAGCACACAATTATTCCAGTACAGACTTTTGAATTATGATGTTTAGCCTCAGAACAGTCCCTGGACAGTCCAAAACAAAATTTCCCCATATGCATTGGACTGCAAGTCATCATTCTTCCCCTCCTGGCATTTACTAGAAGGCTTTGGACTGTAGTTCCTCACATATCCAATCCAACATATCCTTTCTTGAGACGATGATCCTGAGCCTCCTACCCTCCAGCTGATATTATCTCTGAGATCAAACTTCCATTGAGAGGAGGGAGGAAGGAGGGGAAAGTTTTTGCAGTCTCCACCCTTGATCTCCATTTCTCCCCATGGAACTTTAACTCTTTATCTGTAGGAATGATAAGCAAAGGACCTGCTCTCTACGTGACTTGAAGAAGGGAAGGCAAAAACTCCTTACCTGTCAAGTGAAGGTACAAGGGCAATACAATCCATAAGAGATGCTTAAGTCTTGGTGCCCAGCTGTCCATTGTGGCTATACCAGGTCTAGTCAAGAGTGATAGTTCCTGGAAGGACTCTTCCTACTTTTTATAGCTAGTTACCAAATGAGAAATCTTTATCTGGAACCTGCAGGCGTAATTATTAAACAGTCATATCTATAATAGTGGGTGAGGGCAACTAGGCCTTTTTGGATCAGGAAGGTGTGTCACAGTTTATTCAAGTTAATGGACCACAGAACAAGGGCAGGGCTGAGTATGAGTGCTTCAAAGAGCGAATGTGATTAATCTCCACTTCGCTCTTTCATGACAAAGATGCAGAAACATTCCTCTTGACAAAAAGGACAGATTAATGGCTTAGGTTCCTAAAGCTAAGAAAATCTTCAGACATAACTAACATAAACACAGGCACAACAGATATAAGCTCATGAGAAATAATCTCAGAGGCCTCAACCAATACAAGCTACATATCAGGGTGAAGGAGCCATCAGGAGAGAGAAGTGAATAACTTAGCAAGATTGAACGCTAGGCAAATCTATTTTGTCCTTAGTTTCATTACCAGTATCATTTCCACATGAGCTCGTTATTTCTGTTTCACATTCACATGTATTTGTGCACCCAACAGTATCCAGGGGTGAAGAAAAAAAAATCAGTTTTGGGTGTGTCACATTCTTCACACACATATGAGAAGGTTTTGATCCTGTAGTAATCCTTGCCAACTTGCCTTTTTTTCTCATAGAACGCCCAGAATAGAGTTCCGGCACCTTTTTTGGATGGAAACTTGTAAGGTAGGCAAGGTGGGTTGTGTGAGTTCTGGCACTTTTTTTTTTTTTTTACCAAAAAAGCACAGACCCTATGTCCCCCTGTGTATATCTCAAATAATCTGCTTTACCTCTGGATTCCTTTAGACTCCAGGTGGAAATTAAATGTACATGGAATTGTGATCCTATTCATGCTACAAACTTTTGGCATAATTTTAGACTGCTTTCCACACGGTCAAATACTTTCCATGCAGAAGTTTCAGATTCTTGGCTGTAATAATGAATAATGAATTCCATAATAATGAATAATGAATTCCATAATAAAGATAAAGCATATTCCAAGCGAGGCAATATTTATTAAGTTCTGAAACGAATAAGAGCATCAAGCAAAACCAGATTGAACTCCCAAAGCTAATTAGCAGACAGGTCTTTCATATATATATATATTTAAAATTTATTTTACTTCATTGAAACCTAGATACTTTTCCAAGAGTGTTGAGTGGGATAAAAATAAAATACAATGCAAAATAAAATACTATTTTTTAATATGTTTTGGGTATCCATATTGCAGAAATAAAGTAATTCTGGTTCTATGTTGCTAACCTAAGTTGCAGGAATATCTTGGTAAATACATTTTTAGCATGACAAATATGTTATTTTTCAGTCCTCTGCAAAAGACTTTTTATTAAAATGCTTACCTCATTCCTTATGTGCCTGTAGTTTTTCTACCTTAATTTATGGCAGTTTGTTGTTAAACCATTTTTAACCAACTGTTAAAATTCCAAGCATACATTTCTCATAACTTATAATGTCTAGAAATATTGAAGCCTATTACAGTATACTGTTGTCTGATTTTTTTTTCTAAAAACGTGCCCATGTAAAATGACTTTTGCCTAACTTTCTTACTTATTGTAAGCCCTTTGACAGTAAGACACATTATAGCACAGTTAAAGAAGAAAATTGGCAAATATGAATACTTGATCAGTACTCAATGTGGACAATCTCAACCATCTCTTCTCCAGCAAGTTATCTACATTGATCAGACTTCTGCTTGCATTACTGAGATAGTTTTAAATCAGTGGTTCTCAACCTGTGGGTCGGGACCCCATTTGGGGTCGAACGACCATTTCATGGGATTGCCAAACAACGCAGTCCGCCATTTTTTCCCCCTTTTCCTTAGCTGTGCTACTCCTTTTTATTCTATTGGCTTTTGAAAGCCAATACAATAGACTCTCTTGAATAGAATCTAATTCTATTCGCTTTCAAAAGCCAATAGGAATTGTCCAGGCTGTCTCTGCCCTGCTGAGCCCGCCAAAAGTCCCGTTCTGCAAACGGTGCTGCACCAGTTGAGTAGTCCTCGACTTACGACCGGTTGAGTAATCCTCGACTTACAACCGGTTGGGGGTCGCGGCATTAAAAAGGTTGAGAACCACTGTTTTAAATATAAACACAGATTCTTGTTTAGACTGCATATTAACAAGCCCACAGATTTTTCTTTAATGCGATTTATTGAAGGGATAAGGAATAGGCTTATAGAGATTTCAGCAATTGTATTCCTTTCATTTTACATGTCAATTTCTCTTTCAATTAATTAAGGAAAACTAAAAACATTTTTCCTTTTAATTTTCTTTTGAACCAGGAATCTGGCTGCTTTTTTTCCTAGATGATTGAGGAATATGAAAGTGGTTGTTTTGAAACTATCTCCAGAATGTTTAGGAGGCTCTAAATAGTGCATTATAAATAGAAGGAAAAAATTATGTGGCCAAAAGGAGGAGAAATTTATACAGATTATATTGTAGTTAAACTTTCAAATGTAGCCCAATTCAGCATTCTGAATGTGCATGAATATACATGTATATACATTATATTTGATTCAAAAATTAAAATTATATACATATATAATATATACATATACCGTATATTCCGGCGTATAAGGCGACCCGCGTATAAGACGACCCCCGACTTCGGCGCCAAGTCGCATGCCTAGAAAGTCATCTTATACGCCAAAAACTACCATTATTTCTGGCATATAAGACGACCTGCCATATAAGATGACCCCTGACTTTGGCGCCAATTTTAACGCTGCGAAAGTTGTCTTATATGCTGGAAAGTATGGTACATTATATTTGGTTTAAAATGTGTGCACTTGTATATGTGTCTTATACAGGGGTAATTCATAAAAATATCATACATACATCTGCTACATAAGGGAAATACTATATATGTGGCACAATTGCCTGAAGTAAATGTGAATATTAGAAGAAATTTGGACCAACTCAGGGATATCCCAAATTATGATTCTTTTGGCTTCAGGTAAAACAAAATGAACAGGCTACCCACTTCATAGAACACTTTATTTGGCCAAGTGTGATTAGACACACATGGAATTTATTTCCAGTGCAGAAGCTCTCAGTGTACAGTAAGTAAACGTAAAAATACTGGATTAAAGAAGTAACAATTTCTTTTATTAAAAAGTTTTATAAAAATTACAATATAACCCCCCCAACCCCCCCTCCCTCCCCAACTTCCCAGAGCTGAGTACAGGGTTACAAATATGATAAACATACTCTAACTAACATTAACCAACTATATAAATAACCAAGTCCATAATGCACTTTTACTCCCCTTTAACATAAATATAAACAAATTGAAAATAAATATAATAATAATGAAAACATAAACAAATTAATATCCTAATTATTAAACAATACAATCTCCAAATTGTTAAACAATACTAATACTACTACTAATAATAATATCATAATAATACTCTAAAATTCACTCATAGGCTAAATGAAACTTTTTAGTCCCATATTTATTCTGAATATAATTTATCCATCTTCTCCAAACTGAAATATATCTTTCTTGTGAGTGATCCTTCAAGTAAGCAAAAATCTTAGCCATTTCTGCTAAATTTGACACTTTAAGCATCCATTCTTCTATAGTAGGCAAGCAGTCCTAAAGAAGTAACAATTGACTACAATATACGGATGTTTAAATGAGGCTTCATTTCACTGTGCCTGCTTTTGTAATTTTCTTTAAAAAAAATTATAATTATTTGTAGTGAATTCAGAATGGATTCAGCTTGTACTTCCAAGCCAAGGTATCTTTGGATTTTGGCAACATTCATTTTAAAAGCTTTGTGGTTGACAGTAATGACAAAGTATACTATAACCAGCCATTAATAAAAATGGCTAAGAAAGAACCAATATACAACAGGATGGAGGTAGAGACTTCTCTTAATCTTAATTAAACAAAGAACAACAACATAAAGATTAAGAGAAGTCTCTAGCTCCATCCTGTTGTAAATTGGTTCCTTTTTAGCCATTTTTAGTAACGTTAATATTTATTGTTTTAATGTTTTACGTTGTGGTTTTAATTTTCGTGTAAAGTATCTAGAGTTGCTTGATGGTGAGATGGGCAACATATACATTTAATAAATAAATAAATAAATATCTACAGGGATATCAAATCTTCAAGATGGAGGACACCCATGTACAAAAGAGATGAGGCTTTGACTTGACATCATGCCCACCTCTTGCAGATTGTCACACACACATAATTTTGCTCGATGCTCCTAGCTACATCCTAACAAAATTTATGTGGACTAGAATGGTGAAGATACCTGTAAGGGTTAGAAGTTCACAATTTTAGAAAAGAGAGGTCACTCAGGAAGCAAGCCTAATTAAAAGTCGGCAAGATTAATGGCTCACACAGTTGGGTGCCACCAAGGAAGCAAGCCAGGTTTCTAAGGGGAAGTATGTGCTACACATACTACGGTATGGTATTTTCCTTCCGTTCTGTAGCAAGCTTATCCTGATTTTTCTCAATTCAGCTTCTGACTCTTCTTGAAAATTCTCCTTTGATGCTCAATCTGTTTGTCCTGTTTTACTACTTAAGCAAGGAAAATGTTTCTTCTTCATCATCAGTTTCCCTGTTCCCCAAATGTATGACTTTTAATCAAATTTGTTAGCTGGAAGCTATCAGCTGTTTCTGATTTTTTTGTTGTTGACCATGATAGATTAATATGGGTCTTCTCCTACAATGGAGAGAAAAAGAGGGGAACACATCTAGTATGATCTCTTTGTCTATTTGCTCAGATCAAAGGATATTTTTTTTGATGATTGCTGAATTTTACTGTATTGTAATTTACACTCATTGTTTTTTGCTTTAAGACATTAGGAACAAATATTGACAGAATGTTTTTCCAGTGTCTTCCATAAAGATTTCTACAAGTCCACATTAATTCAGAGTAGGAGATCTTATAGAATGGATGTATTGTAAAGGTTAATGTCCTGTACTATTTTATCTTTTGAAGGG